AACTTTCCATGGTTCATTCTGACAGGATTCTAAGAATCAGTAGCAATTTATTAATTATCTGCTTATTTTTAATCAATGGCAACCTAAATTAGCATTCTCAATTTTGAGAGACTCAACTGGAGTGAATCACTAGCTTAAGTGAGGGATGGAATATACTGGTGAACAAATGGACTGTTCAAAGACAAATACAGCTTCAGGCATTGCTGGATCCAGAGTCTCAGATGACTCATCAGGGCTCCCCTTTTTTCTCTGTATCTTTGATGTTCTTCTTTTTATGCGTGGATTTTAATATTAGATGAGCTTTATCTGTGTGATGGAAAAGATAGCTTCTGGAAGCCCCCATTTCTATATTCATAAGTGAGAAGTCAAAAGGAACAGATCTGCCTTATCTAAGTATTGGGAAATCTCAGGTCCCTTACCTATCCTCAAACTCTTCAGCAAGGGGAGAGAGGACTCAGTTTTGCCAACACTAGACGTGTGCCCACACCTGAGTTTGGATACGTGAGGTATTAAGGTTGACAGTTCCACCTCAGCTCATAGAAATCTGGAGGAGTTCTTTAGCAGAGAAATAGCTCATGAGGTTACTAAAGGAACATAAGGAATAATCCAGCCCCTATCAACTTAGGGAATGTACAAAACTAAAGCTCCTTAACAAGATGGAATCAGGAAATAGATGGAGTCAGTGATACAGATGTCTACTACAAGTAAATATGATAGGAAAGTAAAACAGTTAAAATCGATTTTTTTTTTCTATTTCTCTCTCTCTCTCTTTCTCCCTCTCGAAGAAAAAAAGGTGACCTTGACCTAGTAATGCAATAAAAATGTAAGATTGTATTTTTATAAAAAGCTATGAAAATGAAAAGCTATGAATGGAGACCTACATGAAGGATGGAAGAATAGAAGAATAGCCAGAGTACTTTAGCAGCAGTAGCAGGAGTAGCAGCACTTCCGAAGGAAGACTTTGTAAACTACAAATTAGATTCAAACAGAGGAGGAGTTGAAAATGGAGGCATTATTTTCTACAGAAGATGATGCACATGGAGAACAACGAAGAAAATTAATAAAAGTGAGATGATTAACAAAATACAATGGTAAGAATGTAAGTTAAGATTGAGTCCTTAACTTTCATTTTTATCAGTCTCTCGATGAAGATAGATAAATGACTACACAAATCCAAGCCTGTGGACACACTTTATAATTATGATCATTGTGCTTAAAACCAGATTCTTCTTTAATTGAATAAGACACTAAAACAATGAATGGCCAAGTTTTAATCACTCTCACACAAAGATTTTCCATTTATGTAATCTCAAACAAACAAAACAAATTCTATATCACCTGTTAAGTTCCAGACCCTATGCCCTCATTGTGGCTGAAGATACAAAGATTTTGCAAGTTCAGCATCACTTTCCTGTTTCTCTGGAGCAGTCACCCTTACTCTTCTGCTCAGGTCCTGACCATCCTCAACCAGCTTATGACCATGATGCTGGCCCCCGTTATTGGGCGAGCTATAAACACTTGATTCAGGAAGAACCAATTAAGCCTGCCTTTAGAGCTGATCAAGAGCCACAAAGTTATAGTATTTCAATCTTATGCAATTTTTGTAAAACAAAATTATTTCAAAATCTACTAATTATCCTTTAAGTTCTAGGAAGTACATTTTGTGACTAAGAGGACAACAAATTATCTGCCATCATTTCTGCTCTGCCCACTTTATGTTTCTGTCACTGTGATAGAAAAGCAGTGGGAAATGGCAAAACTAGTTCTGATCCATTCAACACATGAGTGCTTCTTAGGTATAAAACACCATTCTGAACATTGTCCTGGATAAAAAGATAAATAATACTCAGCCCTTACCCTCAAGGATCTTACAACTTGGCAAGGGAAATAAATCATGCACATAGATGACTGCAATAAAAAGAAGATAATGATTGCTGCCAGATGTTTGGGGAGACTGAGTGCAGAATAAGGTAACATTCAATAGTCAGCCAAGAACTGTTTATTGAACAGTAGCAAGATGTGAGCTGGAAATGGAAGAGGAGAACATAGATCTTCACATGGGCAACTGAAAAATCAAGTGATATTACTTGCAACACAGCTCTTCAAATAGACTTTTGGCACCAAGTTTCCAATAAATAGCCTTAAATTAAAAACTCAATAAGGATATAGCCTCTGTCAAATATAGCCTGAGGTACTGATGCCTAAATACTAGGATCACCATTCATTTTTATGTTCCCAAGTATGCCTTTTTGTTGCTTTGCTTATTCCCCCCTTTCCAAATTAGCTAATTCTACCTTAATAGGATACCTAGTCTACCTGTTCCACCCTTCTTGTTCCTATATAGTAGAATAGGTGAATTACAAGAGGAGTTTTGACTTCAAACAGCTGAAAGAAAATATTACATAACTGGGAAAAAAAGGCACGTGTGGATCCAAGAGTTCCTGTGTTTTAATCAGGCCCCTATCTCTCTCTTCCTCAGCCCTTCTTCTCTCTTCCTTTTCGCCTCTCTGGTATCTCTCATTAGAGGATTCAAATATCTCCCTGCCTATATAGCAGCTTCTATCACAGCTACAGGCTTATACCCTCGCAGCTCCAGGATGGCTGGAAGGAGGCGGGGTCATCATAGCAGAAGGAGGCACTTATGTACACTTTATGAAGCATCGCATCTATGAGTGATGGATAATCACACTGTATACAGGGTAGATTCTTATATTTATTATGGTACTTTTTCCTTGAAAATGGCGGTAAAATGTACAAGATCAAATAGTGTAACATTGTGCAAAAGATATACATAAAGCATTTTCAGGAAAGGGCTCCCTTTTTCTTCTAACTCTGGCATAGTGTCTGTTGGGCAGTGGTAGCTCTGTGTGGCTATCCTAGTTGTTCCACCAGGAGTCCAAGGATTAGCTATGCATGCCTATGGCTGCCCTCTGTTCACATCCTTGAACTCATCATTGTAACCAGAAGATGTTTTTGTTTTCCCTCCTCAAACTTTAAATACTGAAACCTGCAGGAGGAGCAATATCTAAAAAGAAATTAATGGACTGGACTGTCCCTAGAAGGAAGATAAATAGGTGATTAAAAGGAAAAAATAAGTCCTCTGTATCAGGAAATGTTTGATGTTGTTTGGGCATCAGAAAACAGGTGTTCTGACACATAAAGGAACAGAAGGTATTGGTCTAAAAACACTACCATAGCCAAAGGGGCGTGGCCTATTTTTAACAGAGGATTTGAGAGTTAAAAGATAACTTGTAGAACATTTCCTTATTTTACTAATGGAGAAACAAAAACCCAGACACAGAAAGAGACATGCCAAGGTAACACAGGTGGCTGGTGGAAGATACAGCTACTCATCTGACTTTTTAGGTTTATGTGTTGTGTGTGTGTGTGTTTTGTACAAGGACAGTTTTCTTTAGAACATTAACATTAAAATGAAAATATAGTCTTGTTTTTGGTTTTCTCTCTACCCTCGATTCCATGTAAGATGGTTTTGCTGCCCTCCAACAGTAAGCCACAGCAAGAGTTGAGTTCACCATATGGAGTACACTTTGGTACCACGGACAGAGACATTGCCTTTCCTTAAGCAGAACTAGGGCCACTTGTTGCTTTAAGAGGCCAAGTTTGGGCTGGACCTGAAGGAAGGCACGCCTTTGAAAAACAGCTTTCTAACTGCACTAAAACCTGCTCTGGCATCTTGTTTCTCCCTCCTCCCCCCACATCTTCAGTTAGAAAAAAAACAAGAATAGCATACTGGATTGATGGGGAGATTTCTGTCTAACCCTGTTTCTTCCTCCTTCTGTCACCTCTTCCTTGCTGTTTTCTGTCCGCGCATCTCTGGAAGTGGGTAGGAGGGAGCCTTCTACCTGTCAGCGCTAGAGAAGAAGGTGCGTTCTGCAGAGTTCTCCGTTGTTCCATCTCTTGCAATGAGAGGAAGAAAAGGAGTGAATCCGCCACGGATTTGCTGGAGATCAGGGTTAGTTGGTTCGTCCAGCTCCGGTCACAGTAACCCTGTAGACCAAGGCTGCACTTTCATTCCTAACGTTTCTCCTCCTTGTCGTCTTTCCTTACAGGCTAGCCCAGTGCCTGGCTCCAGAGAAGTCTCTGGTTTAAGGTTCTTTACGTCATAAATCAGGTTCCTGTGTGCATTTGTGTTTTTCTTACGCAAAACTGGTACAGAGGGATTGGCAGTTGAGACTAGGGTCTCCCTACTCCTCTTCAGCCTCGACCACAGCATCTTGCAACAACCTTGGATTCTCCCGGAGCTCACAGCTCCGGCCCCAACCTCAGGGTTGGGAGCAGTCAGCCCCAGACAGCACCGCCCTGTCCCGGGGCCGATGCCACCCGTGCCTCGAATGTGTGTGTCAGTGCAGGCGGGCGAGCCAGAGGCTTCTCCACTGAGACAGGAGCAGGAACTCAGCTTTCGCCTGCGACCTGCAATCCCCAGATTCCCTGGGGAACGCGAAACTCCCAATCGGAGCCAACCCTCCCCCACCCCGCCCCGCTCCAAGCCGCCCACCCATTCCCCCCCTTTACCTCCTCACGCAGCCCCTCCCTGCGTGATGATGCAAACCAGTGGGGAGGGCGGGCTCTGAGAAGGGTGGGGAGAGCCGGAGAGAGAGAGAGAGAGAGAGAGAGAGAGAGAGAGAGAGAGAGGGTGGGAGGGAGTGGGAGGAGGAGGAGAGGGAGCCGAACGACCATTTAAAGCGATAGCAATCCGTGCCCTCTCCCTAGTGCTGGGCTGTTGGAGAGCTCGAGCTGCAAGCCGCGGAGCGCGAGCGCGAGCGCGGCGCGCCGGCTGGGGAACCCCAGAGCGCACGGCATCCCAAGCTGGCAGGCGCCGCGGGACCCCCTACCCTCGCCGGCTGCCCCTCCTCGGGCGCCCCCACCGTCCTCGCCAGCAGGAGCTCCTGGGCTTCCCACGAGGAGCTCACCCCAAGGAGCCCGAACCCCGGCGAGCCCGCCACCGTCCCCTCCAGCGCCGCCGCAGCCGCTGGAGCAGCATGGTCCAGCTGGGGAAGCTGCTCCGCGTCCTGACTTTGATGAAGTTCCCCTGCTGCGTGCTGGAGGTGCTCCTGTGCGCGCTGGCGGCGGCGGCGCGCGGCCAGGAGATGTACGCCCCGCACTCCATCCGGATCGAGGGGGACGTCACCCTCGGGGGGCTGTTCCCGGTGCACGCGAAGGGTCCCAGCGGAGTGCCCTGCGGCGACATCAAGAGGGAGAACGGGATCCACAGGCTGGAAGCGATGCTCTACGCCCTGGACCAGATCAATAGCGATCCCAACCTGCTGCCCAACGTGACGCTGGGCGCGCGGATCCTGGACACTTGTTCCAGGGACACTTACGCGCTCGAACAGTCGCTCACTTTCGTCCAAGCGCTCATCCAGAAGGACACCTCCGACGTGCGCTGCACCAACGGCGAGCCTCCAGTTTTCGTCAAGCCGGAGAAAGTAGTTGGAGTGATTGGGGCTTCGGGGAGTTCGGTCTCCATCATGGTAGCCAACATCCTGAGGCTTTTCCAGGTAGGGGGGTGCTCCCTCTGGGGCAGAGCGCGCCGTAGCTCCCCGCGCTCTTAATCCTAAAAAAGCACTGGCTTGGACCTGCGGGGCGCGGGGTCAGGTCAGCCTTCGCTCACTGCCACCCTGGAGATCCTGCCGAATCCCTCCCACCCCAAGCGAGGAGGTACTTTCCCCCGCTGGGTTCATTTCCCTTCCATCTCTCCCCTGTCCGCGCTCCACTCCATCCGGCTTGACATCCTGGATTTATGGCCCCATTTACAAGAAGCAATCTGCGAAAAACAAGGCGATGATTTAAATGGGTTTGCATTAGAGTGAAATATGGTCCAAAAACTGGCTCGTTGGCTAGTAAAAGTGCCAGGCTCCTGTGAGAGCCGGATAAGCGCAAGGAATTTGAAAGATGAGAAGACGCCTCGAAACTGGGTATTTCTCAACTCCCAGCTTCCCAGCCCCAGGCCACCCGGCAAGACGCAGCTCCCCAGGAAAATGTCGAGAAAAGATTAGGGAGGCACTTCTTAGACCGAGGGCTAGGTCTTCACCTACATCTGAATGCTCATTGCCCTTTTCTCCCAGGTCGGATTTCCCGACCTGTAGCCTGTCTTCGAGAAGGCATGGGGCAGAAGACAAGGGGGACGGCCCCCAAGTGGGGAGAGGCCACCCGCAGACGTGACCCCCAGGTGATTTGCTCTGGGCAGTTGTTTGCACCGTCTAAATTGCGTTTGCAATCCAGCCGCTGGCAGGAGCTGGGCGATCAGCTTTCTACTCTTGCCTTTCGAGCCCAGAGATGAGCTCATGCTAACTGCGAAACAAAATAGCTTTTTCTGCCTCCTCCCTCCGCCCATCCTTTCCCACGACCTCCCTAACGCAACCCCCCAACCCAATCCTGGGCTTTGAGGACGATTCTCAGAGTCAGGCGAGAAGGCACCTGGAGGGAGGCAGTAGGGTGCGCTGAGCAAGGCTGGGCGGTCCTCCTGCTGGGGTGCAAGAGGGCGACGGCGAAAATGGGAGAAGGCGGATGGGGCAGCTGAGCGATGGGTTGGTTAGTCTACTGCAGCGCTCTCTCTCTCGCCGCCTGCTCCCGGAGCCTCAGCCCCAGGGCTCCTGCGCTGCACTGGGTATAAATGGATGGCTGTGAATTAAGAAATTGAATTTCAGGGTCCGCGTGACTATAGGTTCCCTTTTCCTTGTTTCTCTGTCTTTCTCACCATCTCGCTTTCTCTCCTCGTGTCTCTTTCTCCGTGCTTTTTTCCCCTCCTCTATTTTTAATTCCCCCTTTCAATTTCTGCCTCTCTTCTCCTTCTCTACCTTTATCTCCAAGGTTTGTTGTTGTTGCTGTTGCTGATCTCTATCTGGAAGTGATCTTTTTTTAAATGCACAGTTCTCTCCCTGCCTGGTAGTACCCAAACTCCCTCAATCGCTTCTCAAGATCTTCAGTCTGAGCCCTATGCTCACCCTGTCTAGAGAGTTGGCTCTCTCTCAAGTGCCTTTCCCTAACGGTGTTGGGTTTCTGGAGGGGACCCCAGGTGAGAGTCCAGCCATCACCCCCATCTGCTCCCAGGAGTATGAAGTTTGTGTCTGTGCCAGTAAGAGGGGTGCCTGTCCATGGCTGCAGCCTGGTATGGACCCTCTGATCCTGTAAGCATCCCTAGTGCCTCCCCGGGATGCCGTCACAAAGATCTTCAGATGTTTGCAAACCCCGAAGTGCTTGGGAAGGAAGCCTTCCTTCACTTTGAGTTGGTGCGTTCAAGAGCCTGGCTTGTTGTAAGCAAAACCCAGAAGCAATTTCTTTATCTCTTGAGGTTAAGCCAGAGAACCTGAGGAGGCAGTCCTGTAAGGAGGATGAGGCCGGAGGTCACCTGAAAAACACAGAGGTGACTCACAGAATTTTAACTGGAGCTCTGGGAGTTGAAGGCCCATTTGCTCTTTGACATTTTTTTCTTTTATTAATTATGTTACTGCCTGTTTCTCTCTTCCCTCAGAGCTTGGGCAGTACTGCAGATGGGCCTGCCTGTCTAAAACAGAGTGAATCTTCAAGTTACGAGAGAGCTTGCAGACTAGGCTGACGGATTGTGTTTGCTGAAAAAGATTCCAGGGGGAGCTGATTCCTTCTCTGGTGTGTGGACCTGAGGCAGCTGCACAAAAAGCAAAGGCTTGCCTTGTGTTTAGTCCCTGCATTCCCTGGGCTGGGAAGGAAAGGAACTGAACGCCAGCATTAGCAGTGTGGGCTGGGACCAAAACCATTCAGAGAAAACACTGTCATTCTCCTCTAATTTGCAAATTGCAGCTATTCACGTTGGGCTAAACAGCTGAGGGAAGAGAACAGTTTTCACCTGTATTTATTGAGAAGAGGCTGATAGTAGGAGGGATGCACCAACTTGTAGCTTGTGCTGTGAGCTGGGTATGAGCGTTGGTGTGGCCATCCCAGTTAACCGTTGCCTATGTTTAAATATATAAACATAGATTCCAACAGTCTCTTCCAGTAGCCTTTTTTTCCCCCCCTTGCATGTGATCTTAGAAACTCCTGGCATGCAAGTCCAATCCCCAGTTTCCCAGCCTCTGTAAAACTGCAAAATGAATAGAGAAAATAGTGGAACACAGACCCATTGTTCAAAGGCGCAGTCACTTTGGGGAGAGAGGAAAAGAATGGTAGGTGAGTCTTCTCTGAGATTGCAGAGTTCAGCTCAATTAAGATTGTCCTATATAAAGGAAACTCCTCTCAATGATTGAATTCTTAGTTCTCCAGAGATTCAAGTTTTCTTTTGCCTGGTCACCATGGGTTGCTGTGGGGAATATGCCAAACCGATCATTTGAGATAAAAATTTATGGTGAGGTAAACTTCCAGGCTCGGGGGAGGAATACTTCGTGACTTCAGTGGGGGGTGCTAAGCGCTGAGGATTGAGGGCAGGAGAAGAAGATAGTAATAGATGTAACAAATGCTGCAGCTGCCAGCAAAGCCTGGAATGAAGTTCTTTCATGAAAATGAGGACCAGGGCGAGACTGAGTACTCAGATGTAAGTAGTGTCTCTGACTTGGAATCCTCATCTGCTGCTGGGGAGTGGAACTGAGAGAGTGCTCTCTCTCCTCTGTGTGCAGACTGTGCTGGTTAGTCAGTGACATGTCAGAGCGCAGGAATCATACCCAGTGGATCTTTCAAATCCAGGAATTTGAGGCTAATGAAATTAGTGTGTGGCCAGGGCTCTGCCAACTAGAATTAAGTCACTGCAACAGCCCTGCAATGCATTTTCAGCCTGAAAGAAGCATCAGGGAGGCATTTCTAGAGATTTGTTTCTGAGCCTGTACAAAATAATACTCTCCTAATGCTAAGAAAGATTAAATGTAAATTAATATTGACTATGAGTAACAGATTTTTAAAAAATGATCACAGAGTGGGGGATGGCTTAAAAGTGAAGAGCTTACATAGTGTGGTGTCCAAAGAATAAATCTCCCCTGACCACTGTTTCATGGGCTATAAGTAAGATATATTATAGTGGAAAGTAATGGGAACGTTTTTATTCAAGACTTCTCTGCTATTAACTTGAGAGCAAACACTCTGAGAGTATAAATTACTCTTGCTGCGTCTTGACTCTGATGAACAATATTTCATGTTCAGTGACATGGTCTAAGATATAGACTTGGAATTGAATGGCATCTGTTTCAGTTGTTTTGTTCTCTCAGGAGCAACTAGATAGAACAAAGTGGTCGACTTGACCCTCGTGGAAGCATATTGCAAATCTAAACCTGTGGCCCTGGTACCATAAATGAAATGCATTTGTAAATTTGTGTTTTCCTTCTGTTCACTGATGCTTGAGTATAATCTCAATCTTTGGGGGCAGCATTTTATACATAAGTACAAGGTTCTCTTGCTTCTTTCTTTCTCTCTCTCTTTCTGCAGCTTATGTAATTGATAGAACTGGGCACCTAGGATGATGTGGTGTTACTATAGTGGGAATAAAAAAAAAAACAACTCTAACTTACTCTTTAAAAAAATTCACAGATATAGGTGTCAGTGCCATTTAGAAGAGTCTCTATAACAATTTCTGTCTCCACATTTACTGTGTTTCAGCAAATTTACCTAACAGATGGCGAGTGGGTGATTTTTAAAGGGGCATTTTTTAAAAGAGCAGAAAGGGAAGGAATAGAGACAGGCACATACTATAACTGAAGATACCTCCACAAGTATTTTATGTGTATATATATACATATATACACACACACACACACACATATACACACATATATAAACACACACACACATATATATGTATATATATACACTTATACAACTAAAAAAGTTTTTGGATTTTTTTTTCTTCAAGAATTACTGAGATAATGGATTACTTCAATTTCACAAACATTTAGGATTTAGCAGATTATAAATGCTCTCTTTGTTATGTATACAAGTTGTATCATGGATTTAAAAGACCATAGTCAATTGCACAAAGTGTGTTCTAGTCTCAATCCTGCCATCAATTGGCTGTGTCACCTTAGGTCATTCAGTTTTCCAGGCCTCATTTTTCTCATCTGATATTTCTTATTTTTTTAAGATGTACTGAAGTTTCTAATCTCTGTGTCACAGTTTAGCTTGGAGAAAATCATGCTCCATGATGTTGTATTTCTAGCTCCAACTTTGAACTTTGAGTGAATTTGGGGCAACTTGTTAATGATCTTTTCACACAGCTATTTTAGTTACTATTGGTCTAGCTGATTTCACCACTCAAACTTTTTCTTGTGTTCTTCCACCAGTGTGTGCCTTAGTCATATGTATCAAGGCTATTGTGGGAAAAATTACCTCCTGGGTCAGCTTCCTACGTGGTCATATGACACAGGGCAGGGAGTGGGGACTGTGGATTTTACAGAAGCAGATACAGTTTTCATTATCCATGTCTTCTCCCCTTTCATCTTGCAAAAACAGCAGGCTTTTCTTGGAGAACTGCCAGATAATGACATCCTGCCTCCTCGCTGGCCTCAGGATGAGTCACAGCAGGTGATTGGTTCATGTGTGGGCA